AAGTGCCATTAGAGATCAAGAATTACATATCACAGAACTATATTCTCCACGCAGTGGTGCTGATCAACAGAGCGACGGATGTTGGACGGAAACCCTATATGGAAAAGGTCGTCGACTTAGTTCAGACCATTGCGGACATCAAGAGACAGCGCGAGAAGATGGCGTATGTCGTGAAAACGAATATGGAGTTACTGTGTATGAAAATAGCGATGTCGGTGAACTCGGAGAGTATGACGCCGTCCGAGATTGAGTACGCGAAGCATCAACAAGTGCCTCAATTTCCATATAAATACAAAAACAGTGACATAGATGCGGAGATGTGTTTGAATGAGAGTCTGGCATTGAAGGCAGACTTTGACTTCCAAGAGCAGTTAATAGCGTTATCGTCTGCAGCGTGCATACTTGGGGAGAAAGTGTGTCAGAACATCATCACGGCGATCTTAGAATCAAATGTTGAGTCTTTAAATGTTGTGTTTGGGATCCACCGACTGTCTCCGGACAAGAAAGTACCAGTGGAGACTGATTTCATCGACCAAGGGACGTTCCAGAAGATTAAAGGGAAGACACAACACTTGTCATCAGTCGATCGATTTGATTTGTGTTTGAAAATAGTCTTGAGAATGATCTGCTTGCATGCATTGCTGTGCGCGAAGATGGAAGAGTTCAAAGGGAAGATGGTGGAGTATAACCAGAGTATCGATGTCGACGAACTCGAGGTGTCATTTGCCGCGACGAAAGATGAACGAGTGAGAGAGAGTATCACATCGAAGAGAAGTCGATGGGGAAGAAGAATAGCGAAGCCAAAGATCATTGAAAGTATGTTTACAGAACAAAAAGAAGAGAAACATGTGGAACTCCAACAGACAAAAAGCTTTGTGAAGAGTTCTTTGGAATTTGTGTGGGACAAAATTCAAAAGTTCTTATACAAAGTCTTAGTCTTGCGCATTTTCGAAACGGAAGAAAACGCGACGAAAAATATCACCGAGACAAAACCTTTTGTCTTTGCTAATGCAGAAGACGGAGGAGACAAGGATGAAAGCGAGAAGTATAAACTCGCACGTAAAACACTGACGGCAGAGAACGTCAGAAAGCTGTTGGCTTCACTTGAAAACTTCTTGAAAAACGTCAAGGACACATGTATGTTTGATGAAGAGAGTAAGTACTCAATCATCGAGAAATGTATTACTCTCATCAAAAAGGATTTGAAGGACAACAAGTACACTATGTAATTCCTTAAGTACTTTTTCATAGTTAATTTATAACAAATATACTATTACATATACTCATATATTAATAGTAAAATTAATAGTAAAAATTATAATAATTAATCAAATAAATAAAAAATAAATATAACTAATGAAATTACTATAATTGAATTATATCAAATTAAAGCTCAAAACAAGAAAAACAAAACAAGGGATAGTAAAATATAATAAAAAAGAATTAAAAGAATAGGTAGGAGGAGAAGAAAGAAACCCGTAAGAACTAGGTAGGGCAAAACTTAGAAGGCGATGGCAGGCAAAGAGAGAAAGGTTACCAATCCACGTCTTTTGAAATATCAAAAAGTCAACCAGGCACGCCGTGACGCGAAGAAGGCGAAGAAGGCTGCTGCCACAAAGCCCGTGAAAAAAGCCGTGAAGGAGTTGGCACCCCTCACAAAAGAGATGACGTTGTATATGCACCGATTTATGCACAAGGAAGGGTTCAAGCACAGAGCCCCAAAAGCCATCAAAGTCATTAGATTCATTGCCATGAAAACCATGAAGACACACAGAATCAAATTCGATATGGGTCTCAATCAGTATGTTTGGTCTATGGGTATTAGAAACGTCGCACACAGAATCAGAGTCAGAATGGCTAGAATGCCACTCGAAGGTGAAGAAGGAAAATTCTACACTTTAGTCTCTTATGTCCCAGTCGCCTCTTTCAAGGGTCTCTTGACTAAAACAGTCGAAGCGGAAAACTAAATTGACTCTCTCGATGTTGCGGTTAATCAATTTTGCCCTTTTTCTTTCTATTCTCTTATTAGTTCTTTTCTCATTCAATTATAATTAAATTAACTCTACTAGAAAGTATAACACTTTTATTATATTGTTGACTTGAATCGAAGTAACTATTTTTTATTATTATAAACTATACTTATTTATTATACCATTTCCCAAAAAAATAGCCAAAAAGAGCCTAAAATAATGCAGACGAGACACCCTAACCAAAAATAGAATATACTATTTCAATAGTAAAAGAACCACCAAAAAGAGTTAATAGATCTGGACCGAAAGAAAGACGAGTAGAAGAATAACCCTAAGCAACTCAAAAAACTTGTTGGTATGCCAAAGAGAGGAGCCGGAGGAAGACAAGGAAACAAATTCCGAGTGACATGCGGTCTGAACAACGCCTCAACCGTCAACTGTGCTGATAACACAGGTGCCAAGACTTTGACCATCATTTCCGTTAAGGGTTTCCACGGAAGACTTAACAGATTACCAAGAGCCGGCTGTGGTGATATGGTCGTTGCTACTTGTAAAAAAGGAAAGCCAGAATACAGAAAGAAGGTTCACACTGCTGTCATCATCAGACAAAGAAGAACTTGGAGAAGAAAGGACGGAACCACTTTGTACTTCGAAGACAACGCTGCCGTCATCGTCAACTTGAAGGGTGAAATGAAAGGCTCTGCCATCACCGGACCAGTCTCCAAAGAGTGCGCTGATTTGTGGCCAAAAATTTCTTCCAACGCCCCAACCATCGTCTAATGCTCTTTATGCTCGGGAATGAATTTATCCTCTTTTGTCGACTTTTTTATTCCTCTTGTTTCAATGCCAATTTTTTACTATACAGATACTATAAATAGTACTATTTTTACTATTTGATATCCTCTCGCAGTTATGTACTAATAATATAGTTTACTAATAATAAAATAGAATTCACACCAATACTCAATCGAAGAAGGGAAGTTTGTTGTTACAAACCACATCAGTAAACTCTTGAGCTTCTATATTATTCTTCCACCACGAATAAATCTCAAACCAATTCGCGATACTCTCAGCTCTCTTCACAACATCTTGTGGGATCCCAGCCATCTCAGCAACTTTCATCCCATAACTTTTAGGACATGACCCATCTAATAACTTATAGAGAAATACTATTTTGTTCTCAACTATCGTACACCCCATATGCGATAACTTCACATCACCACGATCACCAAATTCCTCACAAAGTTGGTGGTAATGTGTGGACACTATAAGAAGCGGCTTAATGTGTTTAATGGTATAAAGCACAACGGCGTGCGCTATAGCCAACCCGTCGTGCGTTGAAGTCCCCCGTCCTAACTCGTCTAACACTACCAACGAATTTTCACTCGCAGAGTGTAACATCTGCGCCGTTTCATCCAACTCCACCATGAACGTAGACATCCCATGCAAAATGTCATCCGACGCACCAATTCGTGTGAAGATCCGATCGATGACACTCATCGTCAGTTCCTCAGCAGTACATCTCATCCCCATTTGTGCCATTATAACAGCCAAACACACTGTTCTTAACAGTGTAGACTTCCCTCCCATATTCGGTCCAGTCAACACAATACTCTTTGGTGTGTTCTCTCCCCCCATTTCAATATCCGAAGGCACTGCAGTCGTTTTACTTGACACTGTTAAGTATGGGTGTCTTAATCCTTTAGCACTAAAATACGCTCCTTTGATGGTTTTATATTTCTCGTCTTCTTCCATCTGTTGTGTATGTTGTGTTGTACTCTGCAGTGGTGTTTCTATCGCTTTGTTGATGTTCTCCAGTGAGTACAACACACCGTCTTTGACAAACTTCGGCATCGACGAATTCTCCATTGACTGTGACGCATCAGAGAGTGACAGAAAGCAATCAACCAGTCCAATGTTTTCAACCGCCTTCACTAGAATACCAGTCTTCGCAACGTCTCCCATTATTTGATTGAAAAGTGTTCGATGCGAGTCCGCTATTTGTTTCTCATTCACATCATATTCACTCTGTATTTTCATGATTTGCAAACTTTTCAGTCGTATATCATTCTTTGTCCGATTCACTTCTGAAAACCCTTTCGGTAGACTTTTTGCCTTTTTAATGTACTTCTCAAACACTTTCAAACTCACATTCAAGATGTGCTCCTCCCCATTCAAACTAATATACTTCACATCACTCATATTCTGCTTCACACTCTCTAACTCCTTCTCAAACTTCTTCTCTAATTCTCCTCTCTTCTCAAACGCATTGTCTATGTCTTCATTATACCCACTAAAGAACGTCAACTCGCGTTCTTCTTTTGCTCTTTCAAAGTCGTACGTCTTCTCCATTCTACTGATAAATTCCTCTAAATCGGGAAACCCTAAATTGTTGGTATTTTTCACGACGACTTTGAGTAAGTCGGGCAGATCATCAGCGATATTCTTGAGCTCTCCCATGAGTTTCTGGCACGTCTCAAACCCCGCAATAAGTCGAATGAAATTCGCTTCTGTAATCGTTGATGCGTCACACTGCACTAAAAGTCTTTCCAAGTCCGGAAGTGGCTTTAAAAAGGTCTTCAGTTGCTCGACAAGAGTCGGATTTTCTATAAAGAACTCGACGACGGCTTGTCTCTTCAAGATCTTCTCGACATCCATTAACGGCTTTAATATGAATTTCTCTCGCAGAATTCGTTTCCCAAAAGGTGTTTGGCAGTTGTCTACAAAGTGGAGGAGAGTGCCTTCTTTCTCTTTGCCTTTTCTAGTGTAGAGTGAGAGATTGACTATACTCTGTGCGTCGACTATCAAGAAATCGTTTGACGACGTGACGTACTCCCCAAAGCTCCCATTCACAATGGACTTATCTGGTATCAATAACGTTCGAAAATAGTCCACCATGATCTCAAAGCTCTTCATAACACCTTCGTTCTCAGAGTACTTCTCTAAAGTGTTTGGGACTTTCCCGCGCTCAGTAAATAATTTTTGGACTTCGCTCTTCCCAAATTTTTCCGTCTTTTCCTCGACATAACTGATCTCCGCAAACCCAAGATTTTTTAAAATGTTTTGAATATCTTCAGAGATAGTTTTATAGACTATCACCTCTTTGGGTTGAACTCGATGTAATATCGTGTGTAAGTTGTTATGTAAATCAGTGTCGTCTATATACCCTAAAAAGAAGCGACAGACGGAAACATCACCATAACACACTCCAACGTTATTTCCAGTAAACACTAGACTCATACAAAACATATCGCTCGTGTCAAGACAGAGTTCGGGGTCGGTGAGTGTCGACACAGTATAAATTCTTCTTAACTCCCGTCGAACTATATTGGGCTCTTTCTTCCCATTCACTCGAACTGTAGTCCCCCTCTTCTTCATCTCTTCTGATGTCTCCATTTCATCAACACATCCAATTTTATATCCTAAATTAAGCAACTTGGACGCATACGTTGAAAAGGAGGCTTTGGGGACTCCAGCCATTCGCATATTAACTCGACTCACCACTTTTAAATCCATTTCCTTGTTGGCTATGTCCGCGTCGTTCTCGTACAATTCGTAGAACTTCCCTTTCGCAAAGAAGATCACTGTGTCAAAATTGTCTTTCTTAATGTTCCAATATTGTTTCTCAAAGGGAGTCATTTGCGCCAATGTAAGTTTTGGAATGAGAAGAGATGTCGGATCGTACTCAGACTCTCCTGGTTTGTGGCCGTTCTTGTCTTTAACATCTTGTAAAAATTTGTATCGTTCTTCATTCTCCTTTTCAACAACTTCTTGGCGTAACTCGCGTGCGCGTGTCGTAGTAAACATGTTGTTCTTATACTCGGCACATTCCTCAATGTCCATCTTGTGATTTTGTAGTTTTATTTACTTAGTTGATATTATTAATACAATAGAAAGGTGTTTTTATCATTATTTTACTATAATTTATTATAATATTTATATTATTTTTTTAATTGCAATAATAGTATAATTACTATTAATATATTTAGTTTTTTTTTTAACTATTAAACAATTAATATTTAAAAAATTACTATTTTACTTGAATAGTTAATTTAAATAGTAAAATACAATACTTTTTGTATTTACCATTAACTAATATTTTTATTATAATCTTTTCTAATTTTTTTATTTTTTTATTAATTTTCAAATCGACATTATTTCAACCATTCATCACTTTACAATAATTGACTCGCCGATTTAATGTGATGCCATTGATACCGATCATTGAGACTTAACGAACTATTTTTTTATCATTATTTTATAACAATACCGAATTATTTTCAAATAAAAAAACCCCATTACACTTTATTAAACAAAGAAGACCAATGTCAACATTCCTCCCTTCTTCTCTCATGAAGAAAATTCTGCTCCAATGTGACAAACAAACATTCACATTGATGTCAGAGACATGTAAAGAGTATTATATCTACGCGACAAGTGACGAGTTTTATACCAACTACAAACCAGGGAATTTCCACTCGAAAAATGACTTTATTTCCAAAAAGATTGTTGAGAACAATTCAATTCTATCAGAACAAATTGCGCTCCTTCATGAGAAAGAAAAGTGGCAAATGGCCTTTAAAAGAGAGTTAAACCTTTTCCTTAAAGTGTTGTTTTCAAACCATCTTTCCTCTTTTGTGTGTTGTTTGATTCTTATTCTGTTTTCAGTGCTTTATCCACTCTCACTCGATAAAACGATTTCAATAGGTACAGGACCTGTTTCATTGTTATTATTGATCCCATTGATGTTCTTCTTTTTGGGAGTGAATTTCTTCCCCGTGTTTAAGCCAGTGAAAAGTGGACTTGACAACTTGGGGTGTTATCAATATGGCGTCGGTGATCTTTTAAATTTATTGTGGTTCCCACTGACTTTTGTAGTTCAACCACTTGCAGCCGACATTGATTGTATTCTTCCACTTTTTGTACTACTTGCTTATATTCTATTTGTCTGTTTTTCATTTGGAGTTGTTGGATTATACTGGGTATTGATCCCATTTATTGTGTATCACACACTTGCATTCTTGTCGTGTGGAGTCACCTGCAACTGTTATCAAATAGCTGAAATGTTAAGGACTGTAAAGAAGTATCCCGATACCACATTTTATATAATGAACAATGTACCGTACGGTATCTATTTTTCTCTTGACATCATTTATAGAGGCATTTTCAAAGATTTAATTTTTATGATCACTTTGTTGTTACTTTTTCTTTCACTAGCTGGAAAGATGCCCATTGGCTCGAATGGACAAATTGGACTGATTTGCTTCATATTTTGTTATTGGTACATTTACAATTTGGTCACTTTTATACTCATTTTTAATTTCCAGAGAATAACGTACAACCGAAGAATGGACAGCAAAAAGGAATATTTCACAAAGGGAGTTTGTGTTATTGACATTCAAACAAAGACACTCATTCAAACATTTACAGCGGCTCTTTTTGGAATTTTTCTTGCTACTCTTTTGGCTACTACTGCTGTTCTATGTTATCAAATATATATTAAAGAAAGAACATTGAGTTACATAGTCGCTTTTGTACCTTTGATGATTTTGTTTGTTGGAATGATTGGTATTGGAAATATCAATTTGGTGTGTTTTAACCCAAGAAAGATGTGTCCTCTTCTGTGCCCAGATTGGTGTGGTGTGTTTAAGACTATTTTTTGTTTACAATGTGAACGTTTTCAACAAGGTGATGCATATATTTAAGTGATTTTTAATTGTTATTATTTATTGTCACATAAAAATGTTACACAAAATGATACAAATTATTACAAACTATTTGAAACGATTTTCAAGTAAACTAAAAGCACTGTAATATTGAACTCACTCCTCTACATCTTTCTGTTCGTCTGGAAGAATCCCATCCAGATTTGAAATATCATCTTCAGTCACTCTGACTATGAAGTCCGACGTTCGTATCAACTCACCTTTGTAGAACAAATACGTGTAAAACAACCCACCTGCCATTTCCATCACACCAGCAATAAGAGTGATTGGGTTTAAACATACAACAATTCCACTCCTCATTGTTAATATCTATTAAGTGTTCATAATAAATCATTGTTGTAGTAAAACAATATGCGATGTAAACAACAAACATAATCAAGAAGAACATTTTGAATAGGGGTTCCTTCATTTTTAGAAAGATGTAACTGTCGAAGTCAAGTGGTTTTTCTATAGCAAATGTTAAGAAAGCAACAACAATAGCTATCCCACCAATAATTTGGTTCAGCCCAATCTTCCACAACGACGCAAAGCCCAAAATCAAATTGAGTAGTAATCAGTAATCATTAATTAATGAAAGTAAAACAAACAGGGACACGAAACCAAATTGATCTTCCTTGCAATGTCAACATAGTCGGATTTATAAAAGTCCTCAATGTCTATATATTTCGATAGAAAGTTGACAAGATTGGCTTTGAAAATGACAAACCAATACGTTAAACGTTGGCAACGGGTGGGTGGATCCACGGGAGACATCTCTTTGTTATAACTACGTTTTGGCTTTCCCTTTATTTCTCACTTTTTTTATTTTACACTTTCTTTTTTTGAGTTTTAAATAGTTCAACCCATTGTCAAATTAAATATCTACTATATTGTATTATATTTTTACTATATACTTATGGTATAATAGAACTTTGACGTTTTGATATTAAATAATATTTGGATATTACAAATTACTAAAGAAGTAAAAGAAATAAAAAATCTTTGTATTTTTAATATATTTGTTTAACTATAATTTACCATTAAAAAGCATAACAATTTGAACTACAAAAACGTGAAATGTTGGAAGAGAGTGAATATCATCACATCATTCCATTTTTGAAAACACTTTCAGACGCACAGACACTTTCTATTGTTTCTAAAAAGTTGAGAAAAGCTATAGAAACATTGCCAACCAACCCATGTTATTCTGTGTTTCTATGTGGAAAAGAAATGAAACCAAACGCATCCACGCTGCGAAGAGAGCTCTCTTTGTTTAAGGGAATTACGTGCTTTGACTGCGGGAGTCAGATATCAAAATTGGTTTCAGAATGTAAGAGGTTTGCCAAAATATTGAACTCCTCTTGTGACATCCCATCTGAATTAACTCACAAAGTGATTAGCACTACGTTTGTCCCAAAAGATCCATCTTCATTTGAACAGCTTGAGTCCGTAGTCGCACCGTTTCCGTCAGATCTAGAAAATTTAAAGGACATCAAAAAGTTGAAGAAGGTAGTCATCTATATTACCGAAGACGAGGTAATCTCTCAATTGTATTCAGTGGTTGTTTCTCTCCCAAAGAGTGTTAATGTTATTATTCACTTTGGAGACTTGTGTGATGACTCTTTAAAGTTGTTACAAAAAACCCAAGCAATATTAGTCGCAGACGATTTCAGAAAAGGAATACCAAATTCAAACAAGAAGTGCTTGATGTACCTTTCTGAGTACAGCACCCTAATATTTCAGAAGGTCAAACATATGCTCCCATTCTCACTTGAGATCTTTTTAAGTCAGACTGCACTACTCCACACTGTGAAATGTGGTGAACTTAAAGAAGGAAACCATGTGGACTTCACATGTTTAGATGGTGTCCAAGAACTTAAAATAACCGAGAGCGCTCAACACAACGTTATGTTGAGTCTTCCCGTCTCGTTGACTTCGTTGGTGTCTGATTTACCAATTGACAATCTTTCAGTGTTAACTTCGCTTAAAGATGTAACAACTTCGTATCTTCCCGACATTCCAGTCGAAGTACCCATTTTTACCCACCCCAATTTCCTTGCTAATATGCACGTTGTTTCTTCGAAGTGCGAATCGTGCAATCTCAGCACTTGTGATAACTTGAGAACTCTTGACGTCAGTGATTCGGATGTTGTCAATCTTGTTTTCCCACAAAATCTTCAACAATTTTCTTTGCGAAAATGCAACAAAGTGACAGTCTTACATTTAGTAAATTCGCTTGAAAAAGTCATAATTGAAGATTGTGAAAATCTTCAAGAAGTGAAAGGCTTAAGTAAAAAACTTGTCGGATTTACATTCAGAAACTGTAAAAAAGTAATTCCATTTTCTCTCGAATCTCAAGCTCTCAAAACCGTATTGTACAAATCGACAGAAAATGTGATTACGAATATTGACGAACTCAAAGCAAAAAGCGTTGCGTGTTTGGATTTTTAATTTACTATTAATTTACTATTAATTTACTATTAATTTAAAATAAATCAAAACAAATATAATAGTAAATATATTATTAACTAATAGCTTTTATCCTTTTTGGGATCAAGAAAAGGAATCTCATAGATATTAGCGAAGTGCATGAACCAAATGGGCACCCCCACGAGGAAAGTCCCACCGACGAAATTTCCCAAAGTGACCGGTAAAAGATTAAAAAAAATCCAATGTACTGAAGTATAGTTTGCGCCATACATTTCACCTAAAGATAAAAAGAACATATTTGCGATAGAATGTTCGAAACCGATTGCGACGAAAGCGGTAACCATAAATGATAGTATAGCTACTTTCCCAATCACATCTTTAGCGGAATTGGAGAAGAAAACGCCAAGACAGACGATTGCGTTACATCCGATGCCACTTAAAAAAGCTTTAAAAAAAGGCAACGAGACTTTCTTCTCAGTAAATTTTTGAATTTCAGTGGTGTATAACTCACTGTCAAATGTCCCAAGTAACTTGCCGAAGTAAACGGACACGAAGACAATCCCAATGAAATTGCCGATATAAACTATTATATGAGACTTGATCATTAGCCACTTTGGGTATTTCCCTTCGATGAATGAAGGGACGAGAAACGCACAATTTGAGGTGAAAAGTTCTGAACCAGAAAAGACGACTACGTTCAGGCCTAGACTGAAGAAAAAGCCAAAGAGGACTTTTTGAAGACCAACGTCTAAGGAAGGAACTGCTTTTCCAATAATTATGGAGAACAACCCACCAATACCTAAGAGTAAACCAGCACATAATGAAAGGGAAAACATCTTTATAAATGGATAACGAGCCTTCTTCTCCCCTATAGAAAGTAATAACTGAGCTGTATCTGGTGCAGATACGTAGTGCGATGAATCAACTGAGACTTTCACATTCGGGCTTACACCTAACAAATACACCTTTTTATCATTTACTAATGGTGTCTTGGGAGGAGGAGTCTCTGAGACGGAAGGAGACTCTAATTCAACTGAAAGAATGTCACTTTTATTAAGAGTAGATGTTGTAATATCCATTGTGGAATCTGACTTGTGGGGTTTGGAGATTCTTGTGATCATAATTGTATGATTGGTGTCTTTTATATAACTATTCATTGATAAATGTATTACTATATATTTTAAAATTTGTTTCTATTGGATCCAAAAATGCACAACACAAAAACATTAAAATCAATTGAATTAGTTTTAAAATGTTTTAATAGTTCAAAAATACCTTTTTAACAAACTTTTAAAAATCTTTTTAAAATGTTAAATCTAAAAAAAACAAAAAACAAATTCTATTATATAGCTTTTATTAATTAATTTATTATAAAAATAACTATAATTTTTCAATCAATTTTTTTTTTCACTTTTTAACATAAAACAAGTTCATATAAATATCATTGTGATTTTTAAGAAAAAAGTGAAAGTGGTTTAAATTTTTTTTTGACTTTGGGAGTGGTAAATAAGAAGTATTTCGATTAACGGAGATTGTAGAACAAAACAACTTACTTTAAATTTTGAAATTAATTGTGGAAAACAGTCGGGTAAGAAGTAGATAAAAAAGTGAATATCACTCAAAGTAAAGTAATGAGAAACAGAGGACTAAATATAGTTCTTTATAGTATTTAAACATATGTACTCGTATCAGACATCATAAACCTCAGCAATGAGCACACAACAAATCTTATACATCTACCCAACAACACAAGAAATGCCTTTGGTACAACCTTTAAGTAACTTTTCACCCATAAATGAAGAAGATAAGTCTACTGATCGACTCTCCTTAATACTCTTTTATTGTGGCTTTTTGAGTCCAATCATATGGATATTTAATTATTTCTTATCGAAAGGATCTAATTCTCCAATAGCTAGAAAATATGGCGAAATATCGATTGGGTTGTTCATCTTTTTCATTCTAGCTGCCACTGCGATAGGGCTTGCAATTTATTGGTTAGTCTTGTAATTACTTAACTCAACATTTGAACTTCTTTTTTATTAAAAAACAAAAATTCTATACAGCTCAACTTTTTTTAAAAAAATTTGGTGTTTTTTACATTTGAAATAGTTTTATAATTTTTTAATGTAAACAAAAATTGTGTTTTAAATTTTGATAGAAAACATCAACAAAAATGATAAAATTGAAGATTACAAATCAAATGTTTCATTCTATGTGGCCAAACTCTTTTGAAATTTAGTCGTCAGTTATTTTTGCTTCTTGTTGCACTAATTCGTCTTCTTTTTCTTCACTTTCTTTTTCCTCTTTCACATTTTGTAGTGGTAAAGTTTCACTTTCCACATTCTCTTCGTTTTTGGAAACTTTTTCGTTCTGTGTTTTAGTGATTTGAAGAGGTGGTGGCACTTCGAGATCACTTTCTTTAGTTTCTTCCAATTTAGTGTTTTCGTCCAGTCTTTCTCCGTCGCCCTTTTTGTTATCTTCCAATTCAATAAACACACTTTCATTCTTTTCTTCATAATTAAACCAACATGGAATTTTAATAACTTTTGTGTACAATAAGAATCCAAGTACAAGTAACACAAATCCCACGACTTGTAAAATAGTATTAAAACCAATACTTTCTCCAAAGTTAGTACTAATTGCATAGTAAATAAACACAGAAACTATCCAAACAGTAATCATTCTCATTGGTTCTAATATATTTCTTATCATTGCGTTACTATATTGAATCACCGCTGTCCCTGCAAAATTGAATAACAAAATGATGAAAATGTAACACACGCAGAGTCCAATGATAAGAGGCGAGTGTGCAAACAAATACAAAGTGTCCACTATATTCTCTCTTAACGCCTCTGGCAAGAACTTCATGAAGTAAAACGCGACGAAGAATATGATACAACATATACACCCGTAGAACCCTCTTAATCCAACTATGAACCACACGTCTGCTTTAATGTCATGCAACAATATCTCTTCAATGATCGTTTGAAGTGCATGCAAAAACTGTGCGCATATAATAAGAGCTATACCAATCAAATAGAAATACCACGCCTTAGCTTTTGTCGCTGATTCAGAACTTTCCGAGTCTTCGGTGGAATGCCCCGTTGGAATAAACATTGAACATCCAACTAATATTAATGCAAGTATGATCAACCCTACACCAATAAAATGAAACGCTCGCTGTTTCTGCTTCCTCCAAAAGATGGCTAAAAACATGGCAAAAATGATGGTCGACCCCCTCATCATTTGATAGACACTTGATGGAACATAGAGTAATCCAAAGTTCATCATATAAGTCCCACAAAAGTCACAGAGAGCGGGGATGAATATTATTAAGACTTGTTTGAGTGATAATTTATGTTCTTCTTCAATTTCACCAAAGGTTTGTGGGTCAGACTCTTTGGGTTCTGGAGATAAAGTTTGTGTCTCATTCATCCCAAAGACTTCTTTGTTCCTATTTGCAAAGTACTTTTTTACTTTCTTTACTATTGTAATAACAAAGTAGACAATTAATGCTAAAAACATACCAAAAAACATTAAGAAGTTGAAAAAAAGGGGGCGCTCAAATGGCATTTCTTTCCCATCTTTAGTCTCTGAGATGGCAGCATATGCTGTTTTAGATATGATCGTCGTGCATGTCCCCATCGATAGGAATAGGATTATAAGCAATATTAATAAAACTGTTGACAAGTGCGACTTCAAATATTCAACAACTTTCATTGTTTTTGAAGTTCCATTGAACCATTTTACAGTTGATTATTTCGTTCTTCTTTGAATATATTTTTTAATATAAAAATACTATTTAATATAGTTTACATGAAGTTTCTCAAAAAGAATAAAAGAAGTCGTTCGAAGATATTTTTTTTATTAAAAATAATAAATCTTTTTAAAGTTTTTATAATAAAAATAAACCATATAACAAAAAGTGTTATTTATACACTTTTTGTTATATTGTTTATATTATATTATTATATATATTATATATGTTAATATTTTTAATAATTTTAATTAAAACTAATAATATAATTAAAAGTTTAAATATAGTTTATTTAATTATAATTAATGAATAGTTTTTAATATACTATCTAAAGTAAAGTTATTAATAAATTTAAATATTTATGTGAAATACTATTTTATTATATCATGGCAATTATATTTTTTTCTATAATTGTATAATATAATAAATTAAACAATTTTACAATTTACAATGAATGAAATGAAACCCATAATTATTAAAAATGGCAACAAGTATAAAGATAAAGAATGAAAAAATAGGAATTAGACCGTACGACTAGGATCATTCTTAGAGTATGTCACTTTCTATTTAACAAATAGAATTCACAAAATAGGATGAAGACTTTCATCACTTCAGTGCCAAAGGGAGATACGCAGAAATGCACGATGAACTGCTTGTTGAGGGGTCGAGTGCGTGCACAACACTCTGAGATGAGAGGCACTGAAGTCTGTCTGACTATTTTTTATGTATTTTAATTATTATATTATTATATTTAATTAATATATTATTAAAGAATTAAATCTATAAAATAAAACAACAATAACACAACACAATCAAATTAAATGACAATCAAATGAGAGCAAATTGTGAGCGTATTTCAAAATGTGTTGGATTCTTACCTTTTGGTTTCTTGTTTTTGAGATTTTGATAAGCCCACCGTTTCTGTTTCTTATCGTCTTGCTTGTTCAGTGTGATGTATGTGACTGTTTTGACTGCCTTCTTCTGTAAAGGGGTGTTGTGTTTTGTTGCAACATTTTCAAACATCTCCAAGTTGATCACCATGCTTGTTGATGACTGTTTTGACATCAGTTCATTTTTATACAACGTGACACGTCAACACAATCCATTTGTCAAGACTCAATCCAAACTTTGAGTCTTGACAATTGGAATAAATACAACAATAAACCATTTGAAACATAACATACATTTATAATATTGTCAACAAAAAATAAAAAATGAAAAGGAAGTGAATTGATTACTGCACCATTTTGAGAATCTCTTCAAGTACTTCAGAGCTGCCAGGCGCCTTTTTCACGACTTTCTGGTTTTGGAAAAAGACAAATGTGGGAAGTGATGCAATCGAGTATTCAGCAGCATAATCAGTTGCTGTAGTTGCATCTACTTTGAAGAACTTGAGGTTTGTGTGTTCGTCAGCAAGTTTATCCATCATTGGCGCACTTGCCTTGCACTTTGCACACTCAGGAGAGTAGAAGATGACAAGAACGTTCTTGTTGTTTTCAATTGTTTGTTTCACTTCTGCAACATTGGTTGTGTATGTCACTGGCATGTCTTGATGTTAAGTTGTGTGGTTTGGTTATTTAAATACACACCAATTGTTTCAATACACAGTTACCAATGACCAGATGTTGTAATAACTCTATCGCAATTTATAACTTTTCGCTTTAAAATTGTTTCATTCTATTTTTATTTGGTATTATTTTATATAGTAAAATATATATAGTTCATTATTTAATATTATAAATATTATAATTATTTTTAATGATTTGTTGTTTTATTGATTTTTTCTTAAACTCTTATTCTAACAATATAAACAGTACAAGACCATCAGGAATTAGTCTTACACTTGTGATCTTAGTATTAAACAAACTAAAAATGGGAATTATATTTATTATTAATTTTCAACATACACAGAAAAGAAAACAATCAATTAAATTTTCTTGCAACATATTGTTTCAAAATTTTAATGCAAATTATTATATTGTATTGAAAAAGTTTTCATTTTGTATATTTAACCTTTTGTAATAAACAATTTTTACATTTTATTATTTGAATAACATTTTATTTGTAAAATCAATAAGAAATGGTCAATAAGAAGAAAGCATATTTAATCCTTTTTAATAGTTTTTTATGTCTTGTTTTCTTTTTTTTATTATTTAATATTACTTCAATAATTGTTCAAAATGTATTATTTTTTAAATAAAACAAAAAATTGATATTTTTTAAAATAATCTTCATTATTATTAAGTTTTTTAGTATTGGTTTGAGCACAACAAGAAATTAAATAGTGTATTTTTTGTTCAAATACTTTAAAATATAGAGATTTTATCTGCTTTATTAAAAAAGTTAATTAACAGTTAACAGACGGTGTTTTCAATTATTCACATTTTAACAATTAAAATAAAATGATATTTATACAATAATGTCAATACAAATACGATTATTGAATTTAATTTTATTTTAAATTATTTGTCTATTGATTAACTTTTAAACCGTGAAATTATAATAAATTGATTACAATATTTTCTGTGCATGTATGCTTCAGCCACACGTTAAAACCAAAATGGTTTTAAACTGTGATATTCTTTTGATTTGAAAAAAGTCCAAATATAATATAAGGCAACTTTTGAATTTAAACACAACACATTTAACTATACCATTAATTATTATAACAAGTTTAAAAGTATATAAATGTTAACAACAATTTTTATAACTAACTTATTGTTTATATACATGTATACTTAATATGTCAAATATAATTACTAGGTGTTAAGGGTTAAAAAACTTTTATATTAATTCTAATGAACATGATATTTATTCAATGTCATAAATAATCGAGATTCATCAAACAATTTATGTTTGTAATTTAAATATTTAATAACACTCAAAATCAAATTGTAACAACACCATTACAGTTTAAATAACAATAAAAAGCGTAGTAAACATGATACATAATTATGAACATGAAAATCAATAATATGTTTTAATTTTTATTGTTTGAATAACGAATAAATGTAAACGCTTAAATAATAATCATAGCAAAAAATTATAAATTCACAAGAAAAAAAAATAATTAACTTTGTTATTATTTAAACATTTCAGCTTAAACATGTGTAATACATGTGCCTTTAACAACAATTATAACAATATTCAAATAAACAATAAAAAAGGATTAAAGTGTGACTGTTTATGTAGTGTAAATTTTATGACAAAAACAAACACAGTTAAATTAAATAATCTATAATAGATAATAATACAACGTTTTTTAAATTATACCGAATTTGAGTAATTCAACATTACCTTTTTGTGTACTTTATTTTTTGAAATATTTTTTATAAATGAGCAAATCAAGTTTTTTGGTGTTTATAAAAAGACAAAAAAATAAATTTATATTTAGAGATAAATCTGTTCTATTTCCGCTATCCAACGATCTTTCGCCACCCAGTCATACGTCTTTAATCAATAAAAAGTCAAAAAACTAAAAAAAATATTCAATTTTTGGATTAAATAATTTAGAATACTTTTCTCGATAAATCAACCAAATTCATATAAATATGAAATAGCTTTGTAAACTGTTTTTCAAAACTCTGTACTGGGATGCCCCGATTTTTTAGACAAATAATTTCTAAATAATTTTTCCTTTGCTTAACCCTCATTTTTTGTTATAAATATTTACTCGAAAAAAACAAAATAACGAACCTGACTTTTTTAAATTTTACTTGACAAATAAATCTTGCACCAAAAATTTACTTGAAAAATATAAAAAACAAACTTGGGATCAAAAATTTGATTACCATAAACCAAATTTTGCCAAAAACATAAAACAAAACTTTATAATTCAATATCAATTTTTAAATAATCACTAAGTTGTGTTTTATATAAAAATGAAAAGTACTAATGAGTAAAACAAGCATTGAGAGAAAATAAATAGGTTAAGGCTATACAATTGAAAAGTTTTTTTATTTTTGAACTGTTTATTTTATTTAAGACTCTTCTGATTAATAACCTTGATTGTTTAAATGTTTGTTTTATGTTATCGATTACTTTTTTAATTGTTTAAATAAACAAAAACTTGTTATTTATTAAAGTGTTGTATCATTTGATGCAATAAGGTCCTTCATTACAACATTGTTTTATTGTTATATTATCGTTTATCTTATGTTTATCTGAAAGATGGAATATTTCTTACGTTTAGTGATAAAATGAATCACTGACCAAATAACGAACCTGGAAAATCGGAGAAGATTTACCCAATATTTGTGTGATTTCCCGATTTTTTGTTCAATAATTGAAACTGTATTGGTTTTTAAGGGTTTTAAACTGTGTACCGTTGTTGGTTCAACAAATAGGAAAATAAAAAATAAAACAAATAAAAAATAGTAAATAACGGGAAATTAGGACAAAGGGTTTATAAATTTTGGAAACGGTACAGAGTTTTGGAAAACAGTTTATATATATATTTGTATTGCTGTTTTTTTTCTTATATAAATTATCACTGGGAAAATGTTCTAGAGTCAGTCTAACAACGTTGTCTGTTCCCCAAAAGTTGTCTTTTTGACAAAAAATAATTAACTTTTGTTTTAAAAAACGGGAATTAGGTAAAAACGAAAAAAAAACGGGAAAAATATTGAAACAACGATTTTGGGGTTTTTCAAAAAATTTCCCGAAATATTCCATTTATAATGGTCTAAAAATTGGCAGACAACGTTACAGACCAGACAACTTTTAACAAATGACTCTATTGTATTTGTAAAATAACAACTTCAAATAAAATCTTTGGTATTTTTTTTAAATCGTTTATTTTTTGAAGAAAAACACGAATTTTTTATATTTTATTTATTAAGTACATTGTTATTTTAATTATTTTAGTTTAATTTAAATTTATTTGATTATTTTTTATATAAATTCATTTCGCTATTTAATTCGAGCTTTTTAACTTAACTGTAACGAAAATTTTCATTTAAAAAAACGAGTTTTGATTCAAAAAGGATTGATAACAAGAATGTCACAAGATATCATGAAATTAAAAAGTGTACTACTTGTTTTATTGATAACAGTAACATTTTCAAGAGATATATTCGTAGACAACACAATGGGTAGTGACCAAAATCCCGGAGACTCTAAAATTTATCCTTTCGAATCTCTTGAAAAAGCGATGTCATCAATGACATCAAGTGAAATTATTGAGCCAGTGACTGTTTATATAAAATCGGGGTATTATCCACTTATTAACAATACACTTAAATTTAATACATGGACATTCAAAAACAGTACAATACCGCGCCCAATCACCTTGACCAAATACCCCAATGAAGACCCACCAGTTATTACAGGTGGCGTCAAAATTCCGATATTATCATTTCGCGCGCTGAACTCGGAAACTGATAAAGAACAATACGAAAAAATCCAAAGTTCAAAAAGGAAGTACATTAAAGTGTGTGATTTGGATAAGTTGTATAACCGAATCGACTTAGGAAGTTTTGAAGCAGATTCGAATGCTGAGATTTATGTCGACGACAAGCGGTTTCGTGTGGCTCGGTACCCAAATTATGAGTACACAGACACATCACATCAAACTGAGAGAATATTCGTATTACCACCAACTGACACCTCCGTTCAACTCACACCAAATGTGACTGGATATTATATCCCAAGAAAAGAAGTTTTATGTGGCAATGAGACAACTTTTAAGCGTGAGCAGAGTGTGAACGGGAAGTACTATTATCTCTATAAAAACGATTCCAATTACTGGACACTATCAACACGCTTTGATTGTGGTGTCCCGACACAGAGTGACGGGGCATATTTCACAGTCAGACGAACTGTGATGGCGGGAGAAGTCAAAGCTGTTCAAGAGTCTGGAGCAAAGGGCAATCCTGTCGTTCAGCCACCAAATTATATATACCGAGGAAATATGTGGACTGCTTATGCACCAGACAAGATGGGGAAAACTTTTTATTATGCGAACATTAAATTAGATGAATATGCAAAATATGACTCTGTGTGGATGAGAGGGTATTGGCTCATCTTTTCACAGGACCAAGCAGTCAAAGGTAAAATTGATAAGAACAAAAGAACAGTAACTATTGATAGAGCTTTGGGTGGGGGAGATTATGAAGGGATGACAAGTGGAATGCCTTTTTATATATATAACTTGATAGAAGAATTGGATGAAGAGGGTGAATACTAAATTGATTATGAAGAGAAGAAATTGTATATCTACTTGCCGACTACAGTCAATAAAGTGTGGATCTCACAAAGCACTTCAGTTTTAATTTACGTCGACACTTTCAATAATTTGACAATCCAAAATATCATATTTGAATATACACGAAAAGACATGATGAGCCTTTATTTATCAAAAAATATACTCATCAAAAATTGCACTTTTAGACACTCGGGGTTGAAAGCTATTTATTTTTCAGGAAATTATTCAACAATTACTAATAACATCTTTTATGATATTGGAGCAGAAGGTGTTATTATGAGATGTGGTTTGTTTATAAATAAAGTTGTAAATAAATATAGTAAAACCTTATAATTCATTATTATAAATTTATTAAAAACATTTGTAATTTTGCAAATTAAAAAAATTAAAAAATAATTAAATTGTAATTTATTTATAATTTTAATCAATTTTGTTATTGCACTATGATAATTATATTACTATATATTGTAATACGATATATATATATAATTAATCTAGGATAAAAACTATGGTTTCTAAACTAAAAAACCTAGTTATATAAATACAAACTCTTATAATTTAGTAATTAATATATAACTATAATTGTAATATATGTTTATTTAATAAATTTAAACTATTTTAATAAGAAACTAATATTATTATAAATTATAGTTTAAATAACAATAAGGAAACTTTACTACATTATATCGAGGAGAATGCTATCTAACTCATAACTATGCCAACACGACGTCACAAGTATCATTTACTTTTGTCCCAGCGTTTTCTATTGGCATTGTTGGCAATTACATGAAGCATAATTACGTAGAAAACAATCCCCATTTGGGATATGGACATGGTGGAGCGTATTTAGAGATCTCATACAATGAAGCTAAAAACATATGCACAAGAGCTTCTGATTGTGGTGCATTGTATTCTGGTACTCATTGGGAATATTCTGGTAATGTCATCAAGCGCAACTATTTCCACGACTCAACGGGATTTGGGCAATTGGGCGGATTGTCTTACGTCATTGGAATTTACTTAGACGACAACCTATCGAAGCAAAGAGTCTACCAAAACGTCGTTTCTAATTTTGTTGGTTATGGTCTTGTGCAGGGCTCTGGAAGGTCTAACATTATTTATAATAACATATTCTATAATTGTAAGACGGGGTATTTGGGAGATTCTAGAGGACCAAGAAGGTATCACACGACTCCAAATGTGTTTTATAATTTACTGGACACAATGGTGAACAATGGAGTCGATAGATATACTTCTCCGTGGAAAGACCAATTTCCTGAATGGGCACTGTTACCAAAAACGTCAGAAGAGTTGATGAAAGAAGAAAATTTACATTGGCTGTATATGGAGAACACTGAGATATACTGTAATGTATTATATAATAACACGTGGGATCATATATTTACTGACGGTTGTAATAAGTATATGAAAAGATGGGAGATGAACACTAACTCGAGTCAAGATCCAATGTTTTATGATGTTGATAACAACGATTATAGAATGAGAAAAGAGGGGAAATTTACAAATATAATTGTTGGGCGGAAATACCTTATGAAACTATCGGAATTAATAAACAAGACAGTTCGTATAGTGTCTTGGCTGAGTTCTTAACTGTTATATGTCTTGTTGTCTGCTCATTTTAAACTAAGTGACCTATCCCCTTTTATGTTTAATAATAATGTTAATATCAATACTACATATATAAATACAGATTTTCATCTTTACAGTCAAATTTAATAAGAGTGAAATAATAATATATTTGGTTTCTTAAGAAAGTGATTTTTTGGCCAACCAAACCTTAAAACTGTTCTTTAGAACTCGATTTTTGGTTTTATTCTAAAAGAGCCCTCTCTTCAAAGTTACTGCTCTTAAAAGGTTTCACTGTAATTAATTTAGCAAAATACAGAACATGTAAATAATAAAATATAGAACAAAGAAATTAATACATGAAACGGGAAGAACACTTTATTGTCTTTTAAAACATCTAAACAGAAAAGATTGTTTATAAATTATTTGTTAAATTTTATAACTTAATTCTTTTTGAAAAATACCATCAAACAGTAGACCTGTAAATTTTAAGCCAATGTGGTTTTTAAAAAAGTGACACAAGTAAATTACGCTGATGGTGTTGTTTCTCATTTATCGTTCAAGGACTTGTATCATTATTTCTATTTCGACAAATATTCACTTTCAAATAAATACAATGAATAAAAAATATTTAACAATTCAACTAATAAGACAACAAACACTTTAAAAATTTCAAAAAGATAATTAACAAGTTTTCCTTTCTGTGTAACATTAAAATTAACAAAAAGTAATATTTGAAATTATTAATTGTGTCTTTGTCAAAAGAAAGTGCATTTGATGTGAACATAATCAACAAACTTAAAAAACTGGAAATACCCCCAAAAAATCAAAATTGTCATTTTAATTAAAAATTATAAAATGACAACAATCAATGTGATGGAAAATGCACTGAAAATAGTTCCAAATTCGTTTTGTTGTTAAAGGAAAATATGGCGTTTGTCTATACAATTCAATTTGGAAACATTCATTTTGTATTGAAGAAAATGACGATGAAAATGCAAAGGAATTGTATGAACGACTGTGTTACCCATCAGAATTATATTTAAATTGTGACGGAAATTATTAAATTTTTGAGTCTTCAAAAAAGTCACAATTAACATGCCAAAGTTGTTCTCCTACGTAATGTGGAAAAAATTGTGTTTGTGGGAGAGCGTGATACTACTGAAAATGTCAATGAACTGAAGAACGTTGGCCGTGAACAAGATAAATTTGGCAAATGTGCCAACTCAGTTGATTGACAAATTGGTGTTAACTAACACTGAATCTGACAGTTACTACTTTTTATTGTTATTCATATTACCACTATGTGTTATTAAAAATTTGTATTAGATTTAATATCAATTTTGTTCAGTTTTCATCATGTAAATGAATTAGAATATTTTCATTTTGTCGTACTGTTTAAATATGAAGCAATTAGTTCCATTGTCTGTTTCGTGTTCTTTGTTTTGTGTAAAATTCTGAATAATAAATACAATTCAAAATTAAAGAAAACGCTGTTAATTTGTTTTTTTGACGATGTATGTGGGAGTCTTTGGTTATTGTTGTGTGTATGTGACCAATTTGATTATTATAACATTATTTGTCATGTCATCAATTGGAATTTGTTTTTTTCTTGACCAATGTTGTTGGTGCTCAAAACAATGATAAAAACAAATTTGCAGAAAAATTGTATTACACACACTCAAAATTTCTATATTTCATATTTATATAACTGGATAAGACGAATAACAAAGAATTGGAACCAATTCTATATCGTTGGTTGGAAACATGTTCATTGGGTATTTCGATTTATTGTTTTTGGTGTATGGAATATGTTAGATGGTATTTGGCATTGTTTTTGTTTTCACCATTCGCCCTGTTTTGCTTTTTTGTTTTTGCTGATTACGATTCAAGAAGAAAAATACATTAGAACACCTTAACTAGACATAATTAAGTGAATAATTTTTAATTTTATAATTATTGTTATATTCTGTTTTTATCATCAATGCAAAATTGGTATTACAATAATACCTTTTATTAATAAATTCAACACCAAAATAAAACCACTCATTTGTAGTCATGAAAAATTTATTTTTTTATTCTTAACTTTTTTAATACTAGAAATATAATTGTTATAACACATATACAGATGGATATAAACTAAATTCGTTACTAAAAGAAATTCTTAATAAATAAAATATTTAGTTTTAATATCATTTTTTAGTTCTAGTTTTATGTAACATTTATAATATAAAAAAGTTAGCACATTTTTTTTGTTTGTTTTGCATATAATAAGTCTAACACTGTTTGGTCATACAAATTAATAAAATCGGGTGTTTCCAAAATAATTATTGCGAAAAATGTGGTATTATAACATACGAATTTATAAGAGAAAATTGGCATTTTTATTTAAAATAGTAACATGGGTAATTATAATTGGGATTTGAAAACCTCTGTTTAAAAATTTAAGTTTACATTTATTGTTCGACAAGTTCGATCAAATGTAAACTTGTCGAACAATAAATTAGTATATGTAGATATATTAGAAACTAATAATAACAGTAAAGAGTTAGTTAATTAGAATAATGTTTAAACTATCATTTATAATTTAGTTTTATGTTACAATTGAATTTTTTAAAAAAATATATTAAAACATGTTAAGTAGTGTTTTATATATTT